GGCAGGGGGCGCAGCGAGCTAGAGCGGTTTCTGGAAAGTCAGTACAGGATTCAGAGTGAGACTTTGAATTTGATCGCTCCTGGCTTACCCACCTTCCTTTAGGCTGTGCTCCTCCTAATTCGTGATGTCCGCAGTTAGGAATTATTGGCATTCCTCGTTTTCCTTCTCTGTTTTTCAGTAGTGTATTAAAAAAATTGTAGCTTAGACCTGGGGCAACAGCATAGCACAGATTGAGCCAAGGTAGGGGGTTGGGAACATCGGTTTGGACGTGGTATCCTTAACTTGAAGCTGAAAAGTGCCTGGGAAAGACTGAGGCAAAGGTACTTGTCTGGGTTGGGGGAGAACATGCAGAACGAAACACAACCTGAGCTCCTTTGCTGGAATGTTTTTGTGTTGTATCTGGAGCACAGCAGCACTCCTGGAATTAAAGCTCCCGGGGAAGTAGTTCTCTTATCAAATCATGCTTTTGAGCTTTGACAAAGTTGCCTTTTCAAGGCTTCATTGTTTTGTTCTGGAGTCAGAGTTTAGGGATCTCTTTCTTCCCTTATATTAGCAGAAGAAAATGCTCTCTGCCATCACTTGTTTGGGTCTTTTGTACCTTATATTGGTGGAGAAGGATGTTTCTTCTGCCAACTTTCGGAAGTAGGGGTAACTCATTTTGTCCTTGTACACAGATGCGTACTGAGTTAGCAACTTTCCTAAGCAAGTCAAAGCACATTTAAATACTGTGTAAATGCTGCCATTTGGCAATAGTTCATTATGTCTTCTGGTTAACGAAAGAGAGCATCTGTAAAGGGATTTAAATGTGTTTTAACTTGTGCGCTTTATGTTCACAATTTCATTTAAAATCCTTATCTAAAATCCTGCCTTTGTGTACGTGCATGCAGTCACATCTTTAGTTTTGCTTCATTTGGGGCAGCAAAAAGAGCACAGTTATTTCCCTCCAGCCAAGTGTGGCATAGTCCCACATGGACTGTTGCTTAGACTTTCATTGAGTAAAAAGTCTTTATTTATTTATTATCCTTTCGCGGTAGTACTGGGAACTTGTCCTGCATGGATTTTCTGTGATGGGTAAGGCTGATATAACTAATGACAAGGCTCATTTAATTCTCCTTTTAGAGCACTAAGCCTGGATCCTACTTTATCCAGAAGATATAATGATAGGTTATTCTGCTGTAGAACAGTATTATAAATGCCACTGCACTCTTTTAATAAGAAAGTCTTAATTACAGCTTACATTCCTTTTAACTGCAAATCCTATTTGATTCAGGCCATACATATTCTGCAGTTTTGCTGTCTCTGCACATAGCTCTGTATTTCTGTGCCAGTTCAATTACTAAACAAGGTCATTATCTTGTTAAAATATTCCACTACAGATTGTGAGCGTATAGATCCCCTCTGGCTAGAACAATCTGTATCTAGATATAAACTTATCTGAAGGAAACAACCCATTTCCAAGGCTAGCTTCTTTCTTAGAAGAGTCCTACATAGCAATGGTTTCTGCTACTGAGGTTAGAATGCAAAAGTGTGATATGTGGCTGTGATCTTTGGATTTCCTTCTTGCTCTGTGCAGCAACCATGTCAGCAGCACTGAGCAGGCATACAAGCCTTGCCGTTGGAGGCATTAATGCCTTCTGCATGCTGGCAAGTGCCGTTGTTCTCCATGGATGATAAAGCTTGAACTTGGTTCCCTTCCTGTTGAAGAACAAAAGTAACAGTTGTCTAGTGGCTGTGCCCCTTATGGTGAAAGTTCAAGTTGGTTGTCACCATTAAGATAGATTGCATGGTTGTTATCAGGAAAACATGCAGAGGCTCAAGAAATGCTAGTTAAGCGCTTAATGGCTCTGTCCCAAGTCATAGAGACCATACTTTACAGTGTAACTCTGAAGTAGGGACAGCTCTTTAGAATCTCTCAGTGCTTCTAATGTTAGGCTTTATTCAAGATGCAGACCTATGTTGTTCCTTTAGTGTTCTTTGATGCTTTTGTCTCTGGCCTTACTTAACCCTTGAGTTCCCCGATAACTTGAACAGCCAAAGGTAAGCTGAACCTCTGGCTTGCTTTTTGTTTTGGTTGTTGAGGCCTACTGGCCTCTAGCTTTATGGCAAGTGTGGAATTGCTCCTTGTGGTATTTTTCACGGTGTCCCGTCCAGCTTTGAGAACACGTTTTCATGGTGCCTTGCTGATGTGAATTTCTTCTTTCATAATACTTCTTCTTTGATTAACCACGGTGAGGTGAACGCTCCTGGATTCTGTCCTTGTTTTATTCTGCTCCTCTGAGACCGCAGTTTTGCTGTGAACGCTAGGGCTGAGGAGTCCAGCCCTGAGACAGGATTGCTCATTGCTGCAAAAGTCGCTACAGTGACCTCTCTGAATCAAGCTAATCTTCCATATGCAGGTAGGGCTGTTCTTATATCGCTCTCTCCTTTCCCTCCTGTTGGTGATATTTTGGTTTCAGTACCAAATTCTCCCTAAAATTGCTGAAGCTTCTGCATAAGAACATTAAAATATGTGCCCAGGAAACATGTCTGGTTGGATGAACTCTTGAGGGAGGATTGAAACTGGTGATAACTGCCTCTGAAGCCAAAAACATTTCTGCTAGTGCAGATGTAGGTTTTGTTTATCGAGGTCTGTGTACGCTCCTGTTCAACTCTGCGACTTTGGCTGTGTGGTCCATAATGAGATCTGAATCATGTGCTCTTTTGGAGTCAACCTCTGATAAATCCTCTTAAATAGTCTTTATTCTCAGAGGGTTCTTTGGACAGAAGAGATTTTTGAAGCTGAGAACATGGCCTCTTCTCATCAGTTTGTTTGCATTCTAAATGCTTCGTAAAGTACTGTAAGTTCTGTTTCTGGTTTGTGCTCGTCCTGGAGAGTGTACTGTGACAGCAATAACATTCTAAATTTTTTGGATTGCGCTCGCTAAAGGAGAGGCTCAGCTGAATGACTAGAACATTATAGTCTTAAGAACAATTTCTATGTTATCATTAGATTTTAGTGCTAGGTAGCATAGTCTTGAGATTGCCCTTTGTGCATCTTAAACGTGGAAATCCCCACACAGAATCCTCACACTTGCAATTGTTGTAGGAGCAGAGTGTCAAAAATGAAACAATATGCAGAAAGACTGGTTAAATTTGATAATACATTATGAGGTGTTTTGTGTTGCACTTGTATTGAGTTATAGTTGCATAGTAGCTACCCTGTTATTTTTTTGGGAAGGTGCCGTATGCATTGAGACATCTGTTGCTTCTGCTGAAGCATGGCTGGCTCCTATCTGGGCAGGGAGTGGCTTGTGCGATGTTACGTCTCTGCAGGTGGTCAGAACACCTCTAAATGGTGAAGGGTGTAATTTTGTTTTTCTTTCTTCTTTTTCTTCCTTTCTTTGTATTTATTGCCTGGCTTGTCAGAAAGGAAAGGCTTCTTTTTGGATTCCTAGGATAAAGGCCTGGATATTGTACTGTCAAGTCCCAGTTTGGCTTCGTTTTAAGGGAACAATAGCAATCTGCTGCAGAAATGGGCAAGTAGCATACAGCAGTTCTGCTGTTCTCCATGGCCTTATGGCCTGTTAATGTAAATTGTTCCCCTGGAAGGGCAGCTGCAGCATCACAGAGTAGTTCTTTCAAAATAAGCTGCAGCTATCAGTTAACTGGAGGAGAGAATGCACGGCACTTTGTTTCTCCATATGAATTTGAATTGTAGTCAGGTTACAGATTTTTCTTTCCGTGTGCTCGCATCAGTGTGTTGATGTATTAAAGAACGCTTTGTGTTTCATATGAGGCTTTTATTTTTTTTTCTAGAAGCAGTTGGATCTGAAGGCATCAAACAGAATGGAAAAAAGCTTGCAGTTAGTCAGAACTGGAGCCATGACAGTACTGATAAAACTCCTCCCAGGTATGATGTATCTCATTTTTTTGTATAGGTTTGCTGAAGCAGTTGGTGCTATAGTTCTGCACATCAGCTCTTTGCAGAAGTTCTAGTGAGGAGTAAAAGTGGTGTGACTGTTTCTTTGCCTGTTTAGCTATGCTTTCCCTCTGTAGAGGATCTCTGGGTATTGGCAGTAAACATGCATGTAGCACCACACTTCTGGGTACTTTGGTGCGATCATGTGTGGGTGGAATGAGCTGAAGTGGGCAAATTGTTGATGTTTCAGTGTCTACAGGAAGAAAAAAGAAATTGCAGAGAGCTTTCTGTCTGGACTTCCTGTTTTTCAGCTCAAAACTATGAGTGGGGAAGTCAGTGTCTCTGATTCTGGTATATGAGGTTTGTGCAGACATCAGTGTTCAAGGAATCTTGCTGCTGCATAAACTAGTTCCATCTGCTGGCTACTTTGTTGGCTGCAGTTAGACATAATGGGGAATCTGCAGATCCTAGTTAGGAGAGAGAAACGTGCAGTGCAAGCATGCTGTTAAATCTTGAGCGGGAATTTCAGCACTGCTTCTCAGAGATACAGTCTTGCTGGTCCCCCTGTTTGGGTGTATTTTTGCTGTTTGGTGGGATAGGACCTGCCAGTATCATTTATTTGGAGTTCGGAGAGCTTTGGCTCAGGACCGCCGTGTCTCACAGATGAGCTCTTAAAATGTTAGGGTTTCATTTTCCGGTTCCCAGGACTCTGTGGACCCTACTGCATATTCTGCAAAATCTGTCAAAATTCCTTTACAGGCAAAGCAAACTGAAATCTGAAGTAACAAGTGAAATGGTACGATCTTCCAGCGTAATGGTTTCAAACAAGGCATCTATCTTATCAGAACCAAAGTTTGGACTAAGAGATACTATTGTTAAATCTCAACTTGTACAAAGGGAGGATTCCTACACGCACATCCAGAACTTCAGGTAATGATCATCCCTGAGCAGAATTTATTTTTTGGGCAGGGGGTAAGTAGGCAAAAACTTCCAAAATCAATCTTGTATGTCATTTCATCTGGTAACCCTGCAAATAGGAGATTTTGTAGAAGGGTATAGTTGATGTTTTCCAGAACAGCTTTCTTTTCTCTTTTGTATGTTAGCAGAGAACAGTTTCATTCATGGCTCTGTCAAGAGCTGCCCCATGGTTCTTATTGAGGAAATGGCCCTTTTTGAAGTGACTTATTCCTGTGCTTATTTCAGATTGTGCCTGCAAATGCATGAGTTTTGGGCACCTCTGGCCTTTTCTCTCACTGCTTCTGTTCATTGCTTATCCTTGTAGTAGTACCAATAAGCTCATAAGAACTTGAGTGAAATATATAATTAACCACAGTAAAGTTTTTGGTTCTAAAATCCTCTTATGCAAGTCATTCTATGAATTTGTCATTTCAAACTGTTACTGCACAACTCTATTCTTAAATGTTTTTTACAGCATATCTACCCAGCATATGTGCATCCTTTTGCAAAACACTGCTGTAAAGATGCCATTGTAATAAAATCGTTTTAGGAATTTAAACTTTATCACATTGTCCTAATTCCCCCCAGGAACAAGTTACTCCTAAACAATTATATATAGTTTTAAGTGCATGGGCTAATAATAGTAGTGTTTCCATCACCTCTAGAATTTGCAGCTCTTGGATTTTAGCAAGAGAGTGTCTTCTGGTGGTGTGTGTGTGTGTGTGTTTCTTTTTTTTTAATTCCTCAGATTTTTTGTTGGGACATATAATGTGAATGGTCAGTCACCCAAGGAGAGCCTCTGGCCTTGGCTGAGATGTGATGCTGAGCCTCCAGATATTTACTGTGTGGGGTGAGTGTCTCTTTCTGGCCCATTCTTTCAAAATTTGCCTGTGGGTTGCTTGCTTGTGAATCTCTAGCATGTAGGTTTTTAGCCGAGACATCAGAACTGAGGAAAGACATCAGAACTGAGGAATGTTTTTATCGCCTTACTCCATTGCCCAGCTGAAGAGTGTGTGTTTGCATAGTCTAAAAGGGTTGTTATTCTGGTAGCACTTAGACTCTCTGGCACTGTAGTTCTTCAAAATTTTTAATTCTATTCATTTAATATTAACAGTAATTTAGCTTTATATTTAAAACATATCTAAAATGGGCATAACTGGATTTGAGTCCTCGGTTATAAATTTAGTGTGAAAGGAATAAATTGATTTAGTTCTTCCCTGGAAGAAAGGGCTGGAGAGTTTAAAACAAAGAAACAAAAGCAAACAACCAAAAACCACGCAAAACCCCCCAAAAGAACACAAGTGCATGCATCCATGGGTTCCTTCCTCTGACACAGTTTCCAGGAGCTTGATCTGAGTAAAGAAGCCTTCTTTTTCAATGACACACCGAAGGAAGAAGAATGGTTTAAAGCTGTAACTGATAGTCTTCACCCAGATGCCAAATATGCAAAGGTAAATGTGGCTTTTGGGGAGGTTTGTTTGAGTCTGGAATCAGTTTCCACTTGGGCCTCTTCTCACTTTGCTTTTTCCTCTTTCCAATTGCTGCATCTTCCAGAGGCTCATTGCCTACAGGGTTTTGCTAAGTCAGAAGTGCTCTAAAGGTGAAGTAGGTAGTATTACTATGCAAGCTGCCAAGGCAGAGGGCAGGACAGAGCTAGGCGTCCCTGCATAAATGAACCTCCTAATATCTTGGGGGAAGAGAACAGGAAGTATCTTAGTTTCTTTACTGTCTGTCTCCACAATGCATGGTGGAATGCATTGAGGGTATCTTGGTAGAAATACTGCTTATGTTTTGTCTCCTGCTCCTTAAGTCTGCTCTGTTTTCTGTCAGTGTTGCTTGAGAGAAGGTCTTTCTATGGGCTGTCTGTGCTGTAGGGGTTGCTTTGAGCTTCAGCTTCCTTTACAGGGGTGTTGGTCCCTGGCTCCTCCTTGTGTTGTGTGGCTGTGTACTGTAAGTCAAACTGGTTCACTGAGTCAGTGTAGAACTGTTTTTCCTTATCTGTATTTTGATGACCTGTGTTTTGGACTGGGGAGTGATGTGCTTTTTCTCATCAAACTTCTCCTGTTCTAGTATTTAATGCAGCAAGATCTGTTTTTCAGGTGAAACTTGTGCGGCTTGTGGGAATAATGCTTCTCTTATATGTGAAAGCAGACCTTGCCTTGAACATCTCTGAGGTGGAAACTGAGACTGTGGGAACTGGAATCATGGGGAGAATGGTAAGAACGACAACCGTGCAGGAGAAGCGATGAGTTTTAGGAGAGCCCTTAGGACTGCACTCCTCAGTTGCAGTTGTTATTCCTCCAGCTAAAGGAGGCAGCTGCCTGTAGGAACGCATAGTCCTGTCCCTGTGACAGCTCAGGGTGTGGCAAGAGGGATTTGCCATGTGCTCTTAAAGGCTCAAAGACCTTAAGAGAGAATCCTTCCTGAAGGCTTTTTTCTAATTACACATGTTGGACTCTGGTGGGCTCAGCTCTCATGGTCAGCATCAAACTCTCACATGACTTTACCCAAAGCAAATGATGCAAGGAAAACAGTGGTTAAAAAAAATATCTATCCAAGTTATAGTTTTCTTGAGGGGGACTTCTTGGCCCCTTGCCATTCCACGTGGCTGGAATGAAATCTGTTCCCTCTAAATGTAGTTTCTGTGAACATTGCAGCCCCAACTTGGTGAAATCATTTCTGACAACTAAGCCCTGTGCTTCATCCTCCCCTTACAAAATTGTTTATGTTCTGTGTTGAATGATCCAGTTTGTTGCTAGACAAGCTTCAGGACTTACTGGAGCAACTGACCAGCTCTCTTAATGATTTTAATTTCCTTTTCAACTCCTACAAATGGAGTTCCATCTGCTTGCTTGCTCTGTTCTGTTGCTGTGTGCAACCCCCACGTGAGTTACTGACCTAAATTTATGAAGTGTATGAATTGGGGTTTTCAGCCTTGTCTTTCCTCTGGGATTAAATGGTCTGCATCGTTCTGGCCTGTCTGCTGCTGTTAACTCGTTTGGTGCTTCGTCTGCTGTGTACAGAAAAGCTTTTGACCTGTGTCTTTGTCTTTCTCTTTCAGGGTAACAAAGGTGGTGTTGCCATAAGATTTAAATTCCATAACACTAGCGTGTGCGTTGTGAATTCTCACCTTGCAGCTCACACAGAGGAATATGAGCGGAGGAACCAGGACTTCAAAGACATTTGCTCTCGGATGCAGTTCTGCCAATCAGATCCAAATCTGCCATCTCTCACCATTAGCAAACATGAGTATGTTTTTTGTTTGTGTGAATTCACTGCACGTGGCAAGGAAGAGCCTTATGAACGTAGCAGGTGTAAGGTGCTCTCAGCAGGGAATTGAGAAGAGTTGTCTAGTGATGTAAGCGTTAGACTTGAGGGGTCAGAAATGCTTTACCATAACTCTGTCTTTGAGAGTGCTGACCTGTATAATTCTGATAAATCACTTACCTTCTTATGTTCTTCCATGCCTCGTTTTGTTTTCAAGCCTGAAGTGGAGATGAGGCAATAATATGCATTGATCTCCCCAGTGGGTTGTGAGACTTTCTCCACTGGGAATGTTAAAAGCGCTAGTTATTAAGAGCTAGTGACAAACATGCAGAATGAGAATTAAAAACAGCAAAAGAAGAAAATGTAGCTTCTCTTTCAAGTGCGGATTCTTGTAGTCTCTGATGGAGAAAGGCAAACACGGCACCCATCTTATCAGCCATGTTGAGAGTAGGACTCATGCTTGCATTAGATGGCTTAAGGCACTGCTGCTTAGCTTTCTTTCCAGCTCACAGCTAACTTGGGTTTTGGACATCTTTAGGCCTCTATATGGATTTCCAGTCTGTATTCTCTTTCAGTGTGATCATATGGTTGGGTGACCTCAACTACCGGCTGGAGGAACTGGATGTGGCAAAAGTGAAGCAGCTCATAGATGAGAAGGCATTTCTGGTGCTTTGCCAATATGACCAGGTACTGATGTGTCTCATCTACGTGCAGGTAGTGGTGAGGGTGCTAGAGACTGCCCATGAACTCCTTAGTCTTCTCAGTGTTGAACATTCCCTTTTTAGCTCTTATGGGACTTGTGCTTGAGCTTATTTAAAATTAAATCCATCTTCTTTCTTTCATAGCTAAAGAGGCAAATGAATGCAAATGCAGTCTTTGAAGGCTTTACAGAAGGAGAGATTTCCTTCCAGCCAACATACAAATATGATGCTGGCTGTGATGACTGGGACACAAGGTACAGTGATCACCTCATACATGACACCGCCAATGCCTAACACTGTTATCATTGAGGCAGAAAAAGCTAGAGAGTCACAGATTTAATGGCTAATAGGAACAGTTTTGAGGTTATGGCTGTTCTTTTCTCTTGGTTCCAAAATCCATCTTCAGTTTATGTCTATTTGTGCTGCTGCTGCTCTTGCACTGATAGTTGTCGGATATTCCTAATCTTTTTCCAGGAATAATCCATTAGGTTTCCTCTTTTTTTAGAGGTGTACAAAACTAAGGATTTTTTTTTTTGTTTATTTGCTTTCAAGCAAAATTTTTAGGATCTTTTATTTGCTAACATCTGATATACCTACTCAGGTCAGACCAGGTAGGGTTCTAAGTGGTGCATTTGTGATGTCTGTAGTTGAGTGCATCCTTCAAAAGACTGCTAGAACCATAGTTCCTCTAATGCATTGCACAGAATGGCTGAGCTGTTCTGGGTGAACTGGAAACACTGGCTTCAGGTGTTAGAATGAAATCTGTGTAGCAGTCAGTGAAAGCTTTTTTTTTTTTTTTAAAATTATTATTGTTTTTTGTTTATTTTCTTAGAGCCAGAGTTCTTACTCTTCATGGTTCTTACAGTCACCAGCAGCTCTGATTAATAGTTCTTATGTAAATTGTATTTAGACAAAAAAAAAAAAATCACATGACCTTTGAAGAGGTAACGAGTAAAGCATGGTGTAGAGATACATAATAGTAGACAGTCAAACCTTGTTTCTTTGAGAAGTTATTAAAAAAACCCACCACCAACTTTGATAGAGAACTAGCTGCAGGTCATGTGAGGAAAACATTGTAGCCCCTAGCAGAGCACTGTTCTGCCTTGTGTTGTTATTCCACCTTAACTGTGCTGGGAAGCTGTAATTTTTACCTCTCTGTTGGTTTTAGTGAGAAGTGTCGTATTCCAGCGTGGTGTGATCGGATACTCTGGAAAGGCCAGAACATTACTCAACTGAGCTATCGCAGCCATATGGCTTTGAAGATCAGTGATCATAAGCCAGTTAGCTCTGTGTTTGATATTGGGGTAGGTACATGAGAATTGAAGGAAATAACTGTGCTGACTTTGTTCTCTGTGTGGGGAAAGGGGGAAGGAGATGCCCTTGCTGATTCTCTCCCCCCCCCCACTTTTATGGCGTGCATACAGAACAATAGCTTATAAGTTGGGCTAGGTAATATCTTGAGATAGGATCATTGTTCATAGTAAGCTAGGGCTGTGTTAAGTGATACTTTACTTAAGCAGAATAATTCATGAGTCTCTGCAGGTGTTTTTCAGAAATGTTCTTTGCTTCCCCCCACCCCGCCCCAGCCAGTTTCCTAGAAACTTGTAGAGGAATGCTACATCACTGACAGTGCAATAGCGTGGTGTCAGACTTTAAAAAGCTGATCTAGTGCTGACTGGGTGACTCTTGCTAGTTATATAGCAAGGTCCTTTTATTGTTGGATCCAGAGGAGATCTTGGAGCATTGGTGCTCTAAATGGCTGTTCATGACATGCATCGTGTACGCTAGCGTACTCTTAAAATCAAACCACTTCATATGTTTCAGGCTGTGTTATAGCTCTCCTGCAGAAGCACAGTAAGTGCCATTTGGTGCAATGTCTGTCTTTTTCAGGTAAAGGTTGTGAATGAGGAGCTCTATCGAAAAGCCTTTGAGGAAATAGTGCGCTCCCTGGATAAGATGGAGAATGCCAATATTCCCTCAGTGACCCTTTCCCGGAGAGAGGTAGGGTATATTGATGTGCCTTGACTCACTGGAGCAATCAAGCAAGCCTAGACCCCAGAAGGCAGTCAAGTTGTAGAAGTAGGTTAGACACTGGATCTCCTTCCAAAGAAGGACAGTATCTTGACTCTTAGCAGTTTTCTGTTTACAATCTGTATAAATTGTGGTTTGTTTAGATACAGGTACATTCCATTCACGGTATCAGATGGAAATATAGAGCCTTGTTACTCTCTGGAGTGGGAAGTGAGAGAGTAAAAGGGCAGTTTGTGTCCCTTTCTTTTACTCATTCTTAGAAACATAAAATGTAAAATAAGGAGGGATTTGGAGAAGGTCACAAAACTGGCATTTACTTATGTGTTCAGAACTGGAAAAAATATGCAGCTGAGACCCTTTGAGGCTACAGCTATCTTTTTCTCAAATTTCATTGAGGTTATGTGAGGGGAGGATTTGTTCTAAAGGGCCCTCTGATGCAAAAGGCTGGGGCATGCAGAGCAAGCAAATGTAATCCCATTTAATCCTGGAAGAATTGGGCTATGGGAGGAGGAGGGTTAATCTGGATATCTTGCTGCTAATGATTAAACTCTGGGACAGGGACATGAAGAATTGCTGGTGGTGCTTGGCAAGGCGTGACTGGCTGATAATGTTGACTTTGATGTTTCTTTCTAGTTTCATTTTGTGGATGTTAAATACATGCAGCTGCAAGTACAGAAGTTTACAATTCGCAATGGACAAGTGCCTTGCCAGTTTGAATTCATCAACAAACCAGATGAGGAAACCTATTGCAAGGAGTGGCTGACTGCTAATCCCAGTAAAGGCTTTCTACTGTCAGGTGAGTTCCTCATTATTCACTTTGTGTTATTGAGCTGATATTGTCACGTTCTGGCTTGGTTCTTGCTGCTATTTTGGGAACGTTATGCCTGTTTGCCTTCTTTAATACCTCTTTTTACTGAGCATGTTTGTTTTATTTATTTTTTTTTTACCATCTTCCTGCAGATTCTGAGGTCACAATTGAGTTGGAGCTGTTTGTTAATAAATCAACAGCTACACACTTAAACTCTGGAGAAGATAAACTTGAAGATATCTTGGTCTTGCATCTTGACAGGGGGAAGGATTATTTTCTGTCTGTAACTGGAAACTACTTGCCGAGTTGCTTTGGGTCTCCCATTCATACACTGTGTTACATGAGGGAACCGATCCAGGACATGTCAGCAGAGTCTATTCGGGAACTCGTGAGTTAAAGATAGAGCTTACCTTCTGAACCCACAGGAACCCTTAAAACTTGATGGTTAAGTCCTGTTTATTGCTAAAGATCCTTCTTCCTCTTCCCTGGTCTGTAATCTGAGAATGCTGATGCAGCTTGTGTTCTCCACTGCACCATCTTCACACCTTGCTTTAATTCTTCACATGGATGAATCCACCTGTTTCGTATAGAGCACTGAAAGTAAGATCTTGTTTGCTCTACCTGCACATTAAAAAAAGGTGTACAGCTTCTAAATGCAGACCTTTGCCATGAAGCCTTTGGTCTTCCCCCCACTGAATGGAGATGGGTGTATATGTGAGGCATGATGTAACATTTCCCTAGAGCTGTGAGTACATGATGCATGCTTATGAGACCAGCTTTTTTCTTTCTGTTTTGGGCTTTTGATACGAACATGCCTGTAGTTCTAGTCTTGTAGGAAGACTGAGTGAAACTGCACAGTTTCCTAACCAGTCTTAATTCTCAAGTGTAAGTTTTGTGAAGCGCTTTGCAGAGTTGAATAAGAAGCTGAATATCTCCTTTTTCGTGATGCTGTTCAAGCTGAAAAACCTCTGGACATTCCAAAAGAACTGTGGATGATGGTGGATCACTTATACCGCAACGCTTCCCAGCAGGTTGGCAATGTTTGTACTTGAATCACAAAATAATTTCTTAGTGTTTAGTTTTGAAGATGATACTGGAGATGGTAACCTTTGCCTAACTGTGGATGTTTGGTCAATGGTAAAGGGAGATAAGGACCCTGGGTTGCACTGTTTGTGCTGGTGACTGAGTGTGATATGCATCAGCAGCTATTCTTTTGCTTTGCTCTGTACTGTAGTGCTGCAGTCTTACTGGAACTGCTTATGGTAAGACTTGTGCTGACAACTACCGCTCTGGAGAGATTTTTCGGGACAATGCATCTGTTGTTTGGTTAAATGAAGCACTGTCATTGTATCTTGTATATTTCTTGAGATTGACTAATGATTTCCTTCTTTGCAGGAGGACCTGTTTCAGCAACCAGGTCTCAGATCTGAATTTGAGCAAATCAGAGACTGTTTGGACAAAGGAATGCATGATACCCTCTGTATCCTTTTAGACTGATGTTCAGTAAGGCTCATTGTGCCCTACCAGAAGATCTAAGCTGAAAAAGGTTTCAGCAGTCTTCTGTACTCCATTATGGGTTTTTTTTTTTTTTTTTAATATCCCCATCTCTCATCTCATGGTAACTGAGATGTGAGCTCTTTAGTGCTAATTGCAAGGAGTACCAGTGCCGCTGTGAGGTCCTTGCTGCTTTGATGAATGATTGCTAACGAATTACATCAATGTCCAACTGCAAACGAAAGCAGTATTTGCTACGTCGAGCTGAGCAATTTAGCTCGAAGCTGCGAACTAGGAGGCATTATGGAGACCTAAGCAAATATGATTGTTTCAGCAGAAATACTACCAAAATGGATTGTGCTGTGCTTGCCTCTTCCTTAACCATCTCTGGATCAGTTGGCAACAACCACTCTGTAGCAGAAGCCCTGCTGCTCTTCCTAGAAAGCCTGCCAGAGCCCGTCATTTGCTACAAATTCTATAACAGCTGCTTGGAGTGTTCCAACAGCTACCGATTGAGCAGCCAGGTAATGCAGGCTTCACTGTGGAGATCATTTCTGTAATTCCAAAAGGAGACTGCTTTGTTCCAGACAAAGAACAGGTTTTTGCTCTAAGAAACTTAATCATTTGGTACTAGAAAGGACCTATAACTGGTGCTTCTTGATATTAAGAGACATTAGTGTTTGCAGCCAGTGTGATGTTAATAGTATTTAAAGCTGCTAAACCATTGCCATGCATTCAATGTAAATTTTCTTTTTCCCCAAGATTATCTCCAAACTGCCCAAGTGCCATAAAAATGTATTTGAATATCTGATGGCATTTCTTCGAGAACTACTGAAAAATTCAGGGAAAAACCATTTGGATATGAATATTCTTGGTAAGATGAGCAAAACTATTCTGTTCAGTGGGGTCGTGCAGTTTTTATAACAAAACATGTTTCTCCAAAGTGATTGCATTCGTGTCCTCTACTTGTTTGAGGCACTTAGTAAGCAAACAATCCATTTAAAAAACAACAAAAAAACCAACAAAAAAGTAAGTCTTTGCAATAGCCTAAAAAATTATAAACTGATGAAGAAAAAAACCAAAGATACGTGGGCCATCTTTGTCTTAGCCAGTCTGAAGCCAGGCATTCTCTCATTTTGGCTTACTGGGGTTGGTGGAATTACTTTTGATATTTTGGTGTTAACTGTCTCTTATTTTGTGTGTGTATTTTTTTTTTTTTTAATGCAGCTAGTGTGTTTGGTGGCTTGTTACTTCGACCTCCACCTGGACATCCTAAACCTGATATAACTGAAAAGAGGACAGCTCAGCAATTTATCCATCAGTTCCTCTTGGGAGAGGACAATTTACCATGAATTTCAGATGCAGCTAATCTAATTTTTAGATATTGTATTACTGTAAAAATATTTTTGTACAGACTTAGGTTTTTTGGACTTTCACAGTATTTTATATAATCTACTGCTATTAAATGCAGATCTGGCTGTTAAAATCAGGTGTCACTATTAATATGCTGTAAAGGGTAGAGGACTTCTAAATAAGCTGTATGCAAACAAGCACAAAGACAGAAACTGGTATTTACAGTGTATTTTATTTAACTTGTATTAAAGTTCTAAATTTTTAAGCCCTTGTTATTTTTCCAGCCTGTTTCTGTGGCTGGCAGACTCCGGGGCCGGGGGCCCCACTGCGCGGCCGGGCCGCCCCCCGGCGCT